CTCTTAAAGGGCCAGCGCACCTCGCGCTGAGCTCTTAAAGGGCCAATGTGCCTTGCGCAGGTTCTTAAAAGGGTCAGCAGGTCTTGTGCTCAGCTCTTAAAGGGCCAGAACACTTATTGCTGAGCTCTTAAAAGGCCAGTGTATCTTGTGCTAAGGAATTAAAGGGCCAGCGCACCTCCTGTTGAGCTCTTAAAGCGCCAGCGTGCTGCAGGCTCCCTGTGTTGGGGCAAGGGGGAAGGGGCTGCCCTTCCACCTGCGGCAGGGGCAGAGCACCAGCCCGGGTGCCGCCTCCCCCAGGTCTGGGCGAGGCTGGGTGGGCAGGAGAAGCTGCCCTGCTGGGCATCACCATCCTGGTGAAAGTGAGACCCCAGCTTTGGGGCGCGACCAGCCTGGGGTGCTGCCGTTATGGATTCGGGGCTCATCCCCTTCCCACGGTGGTGTTGCCCCGGATTCGCCGGGATGCTCCTGTCTGCACCCAACGCTGCATCCATTGACCCTGTTGTCGGGGTTGTATAAAAGCGGATCCTGCCTCCGCGTCCGTGGAGCGGACCAGAGACCCAAACACTGTCCTGCCAGCGAGGTCCTGGTGCGAGGGATGGCTGCTGGGTGCGTGTTGATCAAAGACTCAAGTTTCTGAGGATGAGTCTTTAGTTGGTTTTGGTTGTTTTTTTTGTTTCCAATTGAAATGTCCATTTGGAAATCAATCAAAGGTCCGATTCACTTAGGAGCGAATCGCTGCTTGGGAATATTGAGGTGGTAAACATGCAATTAATTAAATGCAGTAGTTAGAAGGTGGCTGTGAGAACGCATTTCCCAGATACTGCTCTGCCAACAGTGCCAGTTTGTTTTTTAAATTAATGAGAGCATATATCGTGCCGCCTCTGGCCTGTGGCTGCTGGCAGCCAGTCGGGGTGATGGACGGGGATGCCAGCTTAATGCATAATCTGTTTTCTAAAAGCAAATTGGAATATTAAAAATTCATTCCTCCCCTTGGCTAGCGCCTGCTCTCAGCATTTTAAATAATGGGGTGATTGACTCCATGCTCAGTCTGGGGAGGATGTTTCATTCTGCTGACTGTCGCCACAGCATCCGTCATACCTTGCTGGCATCCGTCTGTGGGTGCGGCGTCCTCCCGATGGCTCCCAGCCCCGCGGGGCGGTCATGGCCCGTAGCTGCCGGCGTTTGTCCCCAGGACCATGGGGCACAGTGTTACCTGACAGGGATCAGCCCGATTCTCTCTTAGCCATTCCATCTAGGAACAAACGCTGTCCCTGCGTGGCCCCAGCTCTCTGCTGAGGGCTCCGTTTTGCGGGTTGGTGAAATTCAGCTTGGCCACGGCCGTGTGATGGGTAACCCTGACCCAGCCCTGCGCATCGAGAGCTGGGAGAGAGCGGGCGTGAGCAAAGAGGCAGTTTAACAGGAGCAGATTTTCCAGGGCTGGCTGGCTCAGGGTTGGATTTAAGGTTTTTGGGGCTGCCGGATGTGTTGCCACTGAGCGAGGGTGATCTCCGTGGCACTGGTGTAACCTGTTCCCTCCAGGGGCTGACGCACAATGGCCCACAGCCAGTCTCGGAAGCGATCACGAAGCAGGAGCAAAAGCAATTCTCGGAGCAGACAGGAGAGGAAGGAGAAGAAAAGGAGGAAAAGCAGCAAGGACTCACCCAAGGGCAGCAGCTCTCCTCCGAGGAAGCAGGTGTCTGGGTCTCACAGACACAAGTCAAGCTCAGTGGCAGCTGGCGAAGGTAGGGGAAGGGGCCGCGACCCCGCGCTTTCACCACGCTTTCCTGGGGCAGGTGAACAGAGGTGGCCCAGGTGGGAGAAGAGGGTGCCAGCTTTTAGCTAAGTGGGTGCGTGTTGCCTTGCTGTGTGCTTTGTGCCCGTTTTAGTCTCGTTCTAACAAGTGCGGAGCCCTCCAGCCCCTCCACGTGCTGGTCTGGCAGCGTGGCACCGCACGCTGTGACGTGTTGAAGGCACAGAGGGGTCTTTGCCCCGGCGTTGGGGGGCTTTGCTGTTCAGGCAAGAAAGAAACCAGGCTGAGAAGGGGAAAACCAGCATCCCTGCTGCTGTGGGGCCAGAGCTGCTCCACTCAACTTCTTATGTATTGCAGAAAAGAAGAAGGAAAGAAAGGCCAAAAAGAAGAGGAAGGCAAGTACCTCTTCCTCTGAGACAGCGTCTTCGTCCTCTGGCTCCTCCTCATCTTCCTCTTCCTCTAGCTCCTCTTCTGATGACTCCAGTGACAGCGACTCCAAAACAAAGAAGAGGCGACACGGCAAAAAAAAGCGAGAGAAACAGAAAGACAAAAAGAAGAAGAAGAAGAGAATAAAGAAGAAATCAAAAAAGAAGTCAAAGGAAAGGGCTAAGGAGGAGAAAGCCAAGGAAGAAGCAGTGCCCGGCCCTTCGCTGGAGCAGTGGCAGAAGGAGTCACTGGTGGACTCCGGACCAGGTAACGATGGCGTTTCCCTCCTGTCAAAGCCAGGGCACACAAGTGTCACACTGGGGACAGATGCTCACATATCGCCCTTCCTGGGACCCACGTGAGGTGTCCCAGGGGAGCAGGGCTGTGACAGAGAGGAGCTCCTGACGCTCCTCCCTCCTACGTACCATGGCCGCGTTCAGGCCGCACCACAGAAACGTAAGGAGCCACATTCAGAGAGTCACTGGCGAAGCGTTTAGATGTAGTTTATAGATGTGAGCGGGGAACAAAGATGCCAAATTGAAGGTCACGGTCAGCAGTAACAAACTGGCAAAGCTGTTACCAGTTTTGGGATATGAACCAGCCCTTCCTTTGCGTGGTTCATCACTGAACCTCGAGTACTGCCGGGAAGCTGGTGCGGCACGCGTGTCTGTTCATGCCAGACGTGGTGCTGTGCCCCTCGGCCAGGAGCCGGCCCCACGAGCATGGCTCTGACGAACTGATGCATTCCAGTTTTGACAGACGAACAGAAATCCCGAATCCAGGCTATGAAGCCAATGACAAAGGAAGAATGGGACGCGAGGCAGAGTGTCATAAGGAGAGTTGTGGATCCCGAAACGGGGAGAACAAGGTATGATCCCTGGGGAAAAAAAGAGGCAGGTTGTCCATTCTCACCCATGTTGTGTGGGTTGGAGTCCTGGAGGATGCCAGTCCGTAGCAGTGCAGTACCATGTGTGGAACCATGGCCCCTTCAGCAGCAAAGGCCTGAGCCCATCCCTCGCAGATCCCCTCCCGTCAGACCTGGTGTAACTTACCCAGAAGGTGACACGTTTGACACCAAGCTAGGGAATTGTGCTGGGGCTCCACACAAGGGGCACTGGGCTGCGTCCCAGCCCAGAGCTGCGGGAGGCAGACACCAGAGCACCCTGCTGCTGGAGGCAGAAGGTTTGTTCCTTGAGCTGTGATGGGTTCAGCTTCTTCCCCTTGAACGGGACTCTGCAACCAGGGGCAGGACAGGAACCAGCAGGGTGACTGACACCTCACCTTCACCACTTGCCTTTCGGCTCCAAAGCGCACACTCAGCCCTGGTTAGCACCTGGGTGTAAATGAAGAGGGAGTGCGCGCCCCTTGGGGTTACAGCCAACAATCAAACCGAAGTTTGTTTAGCTGCCAAATAGAAATGACCCAGTTTTTAACAAACTGCATCTTCTCAGCAAGCAGAAAACATCACAGTGAAGAGAATTAGGTATGACAAGTCCAGTCTTAAAATAGAAAGCAGCCTGCGGGGCTCAGGGAGGTGTGGAACAAAGGTCGGTTCCCTGTAAGGCACATAATGAAGACAATTAAATTTCTGTTCGTGTTTGGAGGTGTGAGCCACCTCCAACACTGCTTGGAATTTGCTCAGCAAGATGCTCCCGGTCTGGCTGCCTTTCGGGCCCAAACTGGTTCATGTTTCTGAATGGCTCTGCAGATCCTGAGGCAGCCAGGAGCAGACCTGAACTCTGTGGAAAAAGGAAAAGGTTTTTGCAGGGGTTGGGGCCACTGCTGTTGACAGCAAAGCCTGCAGATGGTGGGGTGGCAGGAGATGCTTTTATTAAGAATGTTTTCTCCTGCTGTGTGCAAGTGCGGCTGGCTCTGGGGCAGGGACAGCTGGCCCTTGCAGGGGGTTCTGATTTCTCAGGGGACCACATGTCCTTGCTGCAGCATGGTGACAGTAATCCCACAAGAGCAATGGAAAAGCCTGCTGTGCTATTTAAGCTTGATGCGGCCAAAAAAAAGTCATCTAATGCAACTTCAGGGGTAGGTTACCACTGGCCTTGCCTAGAGGTACATCAGCCCAGCACCTGGTTGTGGGCACGTACCACTGTGAGGGAGCTGGTGGCTTGTGCCTGAGCTGGGGCACAGCAGCAGTCCTCGGGGTGGAGGGGTCCAGCGCCTTCTGCAGCTGGGAAACAGCGCGGCTGGCAGGAACATGCTGGTAGCCCTCATGGCTCGTGGCTCTCTGCTTGTCTTCCAGGCTTATTAAGGGAGACGGAGAAGTACTAGAAGAAATCGTCAGCAAGGAGAGACACAAGGAGATTAACAAGGTAGTGGGGAGCTGCTGGTGGGAGGGTGGGCACAGCCAGGGAGCTTTGTCTTGCCTCCCAGGGGACCCCACCGACTCTACCAGGGCAAACTGAGCCCTGGCAGCTCTGCAGGGGCCCCCGAGGGTGGGTGCTGGTGGTCCTTCATCCTTGGGCAGGTGATGCTGCAAGCACAACTCTCTCCCTTTGCAGCAAGCCACTCGGGGGGACGGGCTGGCCTTCCAGGTGAGGACAGGGATGCTGCAGTGAAAGCACGAGCACCGGTGGTCCCGGGAGCCTGTCCTGCTGCCGGTGCCAGCCTAGACGTGAGCCTCTGTCTCTAGACCATGCAGACAGCACCACGTCAGGATCCTTCCCCAGGGGCAGTTTCCAGCCACTCTGTGAGTTATCGACTGGGAAGGAGATTGACTTTAATGGTTCATCTCCCAGTAAACAGTTTCTCCTCACCTTCCTGACTGGGGCCAGAGTGGCTGTAACACACATGGACCTGCTTACCCTGATGCCCCTTTCAAGGCTGGAGGAGCTCTGCAGCACCCAGGGAACAGACTCACTGGCACTGAGCACCTCGACATGCTGCTGCCCCTCAGCTCTGGGCTTTGGTGGGCAGGAGTCAACACTGTGGCCAGGACAGGGTATGTGCTGGGGCTGCAAAATACACAGCTGGCTGCCGCTTCTTCCCTTCAGGGGCTGCTCTTGGCCCCTTCCTTGCTGGATCTGCATGCCGTGGGCTGACCAAGTGCCACAGGCTCATGGACCCTTCATGCTTACCCGCCGTGCTGAGAGAGGAGCAGCAGTGCCGCTGCGTGGCTTTGCTCAGGCTGCAGCTCTCCTCTGCCCCTTCATGTGCCACCCTCTGCTGTGCCCCGGGGGCTTTACTCAGCCCTTCTGCAGCTTCATTTCATCAGGAGATGCTGGGGGAGCATAGGCCTGGCACAGCATGCTGGGCTGCGGGCGGGCGCGCTTTGCAGAGGGGTGGCTTTGCCATGCTCTGCTCCTGCATGTGAGTCGTGTACAGGCAGTACTGGGGCTCTCGGGTGTTTCGGGACCCATGGCCACTGTGACACAAACAGGTGGCCTTTCCCCCACAGCAGAGTCCGTAAATCTACGTACTTAAAAAAAAAAAAAGGACAAATGGGTTAAAGGACAAATGGGTCTTGCAGGACCGATCTGCGCGGAGGGTTTCCGTGTTCTGTTCATCGCTGTGATCCCATTAAACTGGTGCCTGCTCCCCTCTTGGGTTTTGTGACTTGTCTGTTTCTAGAGTCTCCCAAAAAAAGCAGACAGAGAAGAGCCTTCCCGTTTCTTTAATCTGTGTAACTCACAATGATACTGTACACAAAGCACACCCAGGCATTGGAACGATGCACTAACAGCAAGGAGGAGAAGGAAGTTTTACAGAAGGTTTGTCACACACAAGCAGAGTGGTCGGCACGGTACTGTACACGCAGGGGCGTACCCGGCGCGGCGCCCTGGGACTTCCCCTCCGGTGGTTCCCCGCCCGCACGTCTGTTACCCCTAAAGCAATTTTTTATAAATAAAATATAACTAACATCGTTGGAATATAAAATTGACAGTCAAGGGTATCAACAGGCAGGGGGTGCTGAGGACAGGGAGGGGACCGTAAGGCTTCTAGAACTAATAGGAAATGCAGCAAACGGTGGCGATACCTGAAGAAGGGGCTGCTACAGCAAGCACGGCGGCTGCTGGGCGGAGCGGGAGTTTGTTAGTAACCCTTTGGCTAGTTACTGCTCTCGGCTCGCGTATCGGACACTGTAAACGTTTTTTGGTTTTAGAATTTTGCCTCATCTGACTGAGTGATCTAGCAAACCCAGGAAAACAACTCGGAGGGAATGCACGGGCTCCTCTCTCGATTTTTTTAAAAGACTTTAAAGGGACAGCGTCAGGTAGAAAGTCTGGCCCAATAGCATGGTAATACAAAAAGCTGCTTTTTATAAAAAATCTGAGCTCCAGAGCAGAGTTTGATTCCCATGGAAACAATTAAGGAGAAAAAAAAAAAAAAAGACAGACTGAGGCAGCCTGTGCAGCGCAGGCTGTATTGTGCTAGTGTGCGAGAACAGGACGTGGGCTGCAGCAGAAGCGGCGCGACTGTCGCCGGTCACGCCGAGGGCTGCCCGGACGATGGCGATAGGGAAGAGTACAAGAAAATTCTTATTCTTTCGTTTCAAAGCAAACAAGTTATTTGTAACAAAGATAAATTAGGTCTGTAACCTGACAGTGCCCCTTTAGTAAGGATGGGATATACATTCATCTTTCCCTCGCTGCATCCAAACGGATCCTCTTCCATACACGTGGAAAGGCATCAGGTCACATGCATTGCTCTCCAAAACAGCTCGGAACAAACAGGTTATAAACACAGAGTTAAACTATTGCTATTGTTCTTTGAGTGAGTAGCACGTTGATCTTTGCTTCGGATAGACGAGTGCCAGATGGGGGCGGCTGAGGATAGATTGATGCAGACTATGATGGACTGAATCGGTGGAGAAAAACTTATTGGCGTATTTCCTGGTAACTACACCCACCTCATCTGGTATTATTGCAGCAATAAAGGTCCTGCTCTACAATTGCTTCTCCGTGTTGGATCCATACAATGGCAACAGATGGGGGGCCAGGGAAAGGACCTGGGCAAGTTTCAAGAAGCTCAACGAAGGATGAGGACGGAGGTGCTATGATTGCCAGTCTAACTGGTTAGTAGCTGTTTAAAACATGAAGTGATGGAGAGGTGAGTATAATATTGCACTTCTGCATTCATTGACAGTTACATTAAACTTGGTCCATAAAATAATTGCTTTGTACATAATGCCTGAAACAAAAAGCTACATTTTTAAATATTAATAAACCCTGAAGGTTCCAGTCCCTTCAGACATTTTTTTTTTCCTCTACATAAATAAATAACTTGCAATTTTATATATCCACTTTTTATGTTGAACATTTACATTCGCCTCTGTTTTACACTATCTACACATAAGAAAATGTGAACATCTCGTCAGCATTGGAAGATGCACAGATCATGCCTTGGTTGTGGACTTGGAGGAAAGTTGAATTTCGTAAAGGCCATATCCAAATTTGCAGAAATTAATTTGTGATGTGGTTTGGTGACTTCACAGGATGGATTGTGGCTTGGCTTCCTACTCAGATGGCATCTGTTTGATATAACATTTGACTAGCAAAAAGCTGGGACAATTCACATTGTTTTTAAACCCAGTAAGCTCTGGACGTACATTCAGAGAGAGCTAAGCTGAGTTGGCAGAAAGGGAAGTCAGTTTTCGGTAACAAAAGTCATCAGATACATTCTGTAATTGAATAACTATCAAAGAGAAGTGGTTAAACGTTTTGCAGTCAGGCTGCAAGACGTGGGAGATGCCCTGGGCAGCGGGCGGGCAGTTGGGTTTGAACGCTCCACCGGCTCGGACGCTGTCGGCAGCTCAGCACTGTCCCTCCTCTGCCTCCGCTTGGAACCTCCAGCGCCACAAACACATGGGATCCACCCTGGATGTCTGATGAGTTAGATTTGCCTACCGTGGCCCCGAGCCAGTTAGCAGAGCAGTGTTCACAGTGCTGTGTGTCTCAGTGCGGCCGTCCTGCACTTCATATTGAAACAGTTAATAAAATGAAGCAGCCAGTCTAAAAAATTCTTTGTTATAAATAAGATCCTCATAAGTAGAAAGTGATATAAAGACAGGAAAGTGTGGTGGGGGAAAGCAGGGTTACACGTAGTCGGGGAGCTCGGTAGGACTATAAAATCTCCATGTGAAGAGGCCAACTGGAGTCTGTAAATGGGCACCCTGGACCCCCTGGGGTGGGTGTCCCTCTGCCCCAGGAGCTGTGTGCAAGGAGGGAACCGGGTCAGGCTGACCCGGGAGGGACAGGACTCAGGGGCTTTTTGGCAAGCCCTCACTCTAGGCACTGTTCTCCTCTGCTACTGCAGAGCGACACGCTCCCGGTCCCATACTGTGCCCCGTGTGTGTCTCGGTGCCACCGGGGACACGGGCCCGCAGCGAGCGCTCGCCCTGCACACCGGCAGCTCCGCTCTGCCACGCACCCAGCCCTGGCTCGCTCCAGCAGCGCACAAACCATCAGCTCAGGCACATCCACTGAGAAACACACCAGGAAAATTAAGATATGGCCTTTTCTTAAGCTTGCCTGACATTGTTGGCACACTTCCTTACAATCTCCTTACTGCTGGAAAAACTTCTGCACAGATTTTTTTTTTTTAAATATATACATATATATACATGTGTGTGCATATGTATATGCATATATGTGTATATATATACACACACCCTGGCTTAGCAATATTTCGTTGTCATGCACTACAAACAGTTAGGTGTAGCTACATGAGATGGTAACAGGTTTCCATTCTAAAAATCATCAGTGCAAAAAACAATGAGGTTTTACAGTTCAGTAATTACAGGTAAAAGAAGCGAGTCTAGTTCCCATGAAAGCTGCTACTGAACTTGGAGAGAACCTGGGAAGAAGAAAATGTCTCGGAGGTGGGTGTTGAGAGAGTCAGACCCTGCATTTGGATGAGAAGAACTGCAATGCGATCTAGCTGCTGAGTGCCTTCAGCTGCTTCCAAATATACGGTGGTTACTTTTGGAAATAATACACAGCGAGACTATTTGGAGACTTTAACAGCAAATTAAGTGTCTGAGGTTTGTAACAGCTCAAACAAAATAGCTTGTATTCCTCTTGTCATAGGTCAATGCATTAAATTCCATCGGCTTCTAAAAGGTCTCTTTAAAAAATAACAGTAATAACTACCCCAGTTTCTTGGGCGTGAATCTGCCGACATTCTGCCTCTACCAACAGCATCTTACGCTTTTCCACTGCGCATAATCCTTGAGAAAATGGCTGAACTTGAAGCTCTTTGAACAGGTAAAGCTCTCGGTTGTTCTGCCTGGCACAGCCCACGATCAATCCCTCGCTCGGGGCTGCCCGTGCCGGGGAAACGGCACGCTTATCCAACTCCAAACCCACCCCGTGCCCGCACCGGCACAGCACATCAGCGTGGCACAACCAAGAACAAGTTCCCCCGGCCTGATCCCCTGTTCCTGTGGCTCTGAGGACAGCACTCGGTCACGCGTATCGGAGCGATGGCTAACAAGGCGAGGAGGCACGTATTTACAGTCACTAAACCTGGATAAGAGAAGGAGGCAGGAGAGAGCGCAATCTTGACCTGGAGACTTTTCCCCCCGATTTCCAGCTGTTCCTTGAGCTCATGCTGCACAAACCTGACGCTCTCGCTGCAAGGCCTGCACGTTCTGCATGGGAAACATCCCGTCTCTTCCCAGAATACCATGATGTTATTAGAGTAGCACCATATTTACCCTTCCAGCCCGTAACGCCGGCCTCGTCCCTCTTTCCTTTTGTTTTCTCCTCCGGTGGTTGTAGCTGACAGTTGCTGGCTCTGGCCTGGCTACTTCTGCCCCAAAAGGCCAGACTCCAGCCGGGACACTGTGCTCCGACCCCAGCACCCCGTGGCAATGCTCATGCTTCTTTGGCTGCGTTCCCTGTCCCTCTCCTTGTCGCTGTCGGACTGGCTCTGGGTGCGCTCGGGGCGGGGGGCATCCTGCCGCTGGCCGAAGGCTGGGAGGAGATGGTCCGCAGCAGGTGGTTCCTCTTGCGCAGGAACTCGGTCTGGCTGGGCAGCCCGAAGCTGCCTTTCCGCAGCGCCATGCGCGTGGTGTTCTTGGCGGGGCGCGCGCGGTGGTTGTACTCCAGCTGGGCCAGGTGGGCTGCGTACCCCTCCGTGATGAACTGCGAGACAATAGGGATGAGGGCAGGCGTTACAGGGATGGGACACGTTTCCCTGATAGCCACTGGCAGCCAAATGCGTTTGCCATGCCAGGTTCTCTGATGTATAAGACATGGAATCACTGAGACAGATGTGATGGGTCCTGGTACGCGGGACAGTTCCTGCCGTCTTGGCAAACACTAACTCAGTCACTGGTTCTAAGGTGACCAAATTCCCATCACCCTCCCACCTTGGAGGCACCTCCAGGACTTGGACAAGCTGGCTCCTACCTGACACTGGTTCTGCAGCTTCTTGGTGGGTCGGCCAACGATGTAGATGTGCGTGGGCGGGAGGCTGATGGAGCTGTACACGGAGATGTCCTTAGTAGATCCATACGCCGCATGGATCCTCATGTGGAGCTGCGGGGAGACAAAGCGACTCGCGGTCAGAACATACGGGCACCCCCTGTGCTGCTCAACAGGCAGGTTTGGTTTTTTTTGTTTGTTTTTTTTTTTTTTTAACTAGCATTTGTGGGAATCTCAGGTCAATAACTTACGTAAGCTCCCAGCTGGATAACTCACTGCTGTGCAAAGCGCTAATTAACAGAGCTGGGGATGTTTACAGGCCAGAACGAGAGGAGTAACAGCAATATGAAAGCACATCTCTGCTTGCTGATCCACGACCTCCCCTTGAGGTCTGCGGGGGGACAGGGACACTGCACACTTCTCTGCCGGCTTGTCACTGGGGGCGAGGAGTGGTTTGCAGCCCCCGGTGCCATGAGCATTAGCAGGGAGTGTTCACGTTCCCCTCCCCAGCCACACTGCCACACGCAACTCTGCTGTTTGACTCTGCTGGGCAGAGGGAGAAGGGACGGGCAGCAAAATAAAGCTGCTTTTCTGGGATTCGTCTGTCTCCACTCCGAGTAGAGAGCAACTCCTGGGCAAGCCCTTCCTTCGTGGGTAGAAGCAGGGGCTGGCAGGAGAGGTGCAGACACCTGTGCCACTCAAGACCGACCAGCTTTGCCCCTAGAGCTGCAGGCAGCCCAGAGAGATGGAAAGGAAATCCCTGGCCCTGGTCGCAAGCTTGTTCTTCTGGAGGACAAGACAGCAGGTGGCAAGTAAGGGCCAGCTTCTCCCACTGTGGTGACTCAGGTCAAAACAAGAGTCCAAGAGAATTAACGAGGGGCTTCCCTGTGGTTCCAGGCAGGGCACAAGCGAGAGGTTCCTTCACTTGCCAGAGAGAGAAAATCATCTTTCATCTGGAGCTTTTCTGAGGCTCTGGGCTGAGCAACATAAAGACCTCCGTGGGGTCGAATGCTCGGAGAGATGCTCTGTGGAGTCTCCCATCAAGGCTGGGTGGTGCAAGGCCATTTCTGCAGCAGCTCCGTGCCTTCTCAGACCTGCTGGTTGCAAAGCAACCAAGCAGGTGAAAAAAGTGCACGTGTGGGGAAGATGAGGCACTGCTGCCTCGGTTTCATTAGGCATTTGGTATTGGAAGGAGCAGCGACAAAATGGAGCAGTGCAGAGCAGAGATGCCACAATTTAACAGCATAGACACTTTTGTAGAGCAATAAAAGGATGAAAATAAAATGAACAGATTAATCTTCCACTGCGGGGCACATCACTGCCAAGGGCAATTGGACAAGGAGCAATCTCAACCCGTGCTATGACGATATTTCAGCAGAGCCAGGCTTACATCTGTGATGAGGGATTTCAGGAAGTTGGCCTTGTGCCGCAGCGGGTCATGAACGAGCCCATCGCAGAAGGAGACGATCCCATGGGGGAAGTTGTGCTGTGCTAACCACGCTACCACCCTCTGCTTCTGCATGTCAGGGCGGCCCGTGACATAGATAATGAGGTAGCCGAGGTCTTGCCAGTGCCTAGAAGGAAAGCCAGAAGTCAATGGATTGCAGACCCACAACAATGCCAGGGTAAACCAGAGTGACTGCCCCAGCCTCTGCCGCTGACCTGACGACGTCGACCGCTCCAGCGCGGACTTTGGGGTCGCTGCCCATGATGGATACGCTGGCTGCGAAGGAGCCATCGATGCTGAACACCACAAACTCCGTCCCCTTCGGCAGGACCGTTATGTAGCTGTCTGCATACGTGTGGTCACCTCTGGAAGGGATGCAGATATTTATAGGCATCAAGATACAGAGGTTCTTTCAGAAGGTACCGCTGAGTCCTGCAGTGCGTCGCAAGCCCAAAGCAGCACCTAATGCAGCCCAAAGCCTCTAACAGCGATGCCACCCTTGGTCACAGCAGTGACAGGCACTGCCTGAAGGCCTCTGTGTTAAAGAGGGGCTGGTAATAGTACTCTGGAGCTCTGGCATCAGTGACTCAAAAAAATACTCCCAGAAACCCATTGCTAGGTTGGCCACTGAGAAGATGCTCCTCTCTTCCCCCATCCAGAGCTCAACACCAGCAATTGGAGCTGAGCTAGGGCTCTGGGCTCTGAATTACCACGAGTACGGAGTTCTGTCCCTCAAGGACAAGTTTATGGTCTTTAAAATATGCTCAGTTGTGCAGTTTTGCAGATGACCGCGAGGTGATGCATCTGTGGTGCAGAAGGCGCGCTCCTACAACAGGAGCTCAATTACCACCCTGTTGATGATGTAAGAGTCAGAACAAAACATGGATCTTCCTCTTACAGCTGTAGAGCACAAATTGTCCCTCCTGCTGGCAAACCAGCCTCTGAACCCACCCAACAATCAGAGCTACCCCGCAAGGAGGGACCATATTCTACAGTCATCAAATTCCACTTTTGTTCCTCTTGCAAACTAAGCCCCCGGTACCCCAAAGTGCCTCACCTGACCACCATCTTGACAGGGTACACGCCAATGCCCAGGCGCCGGTTCTCAGGGATGACGTAAGAAATCCTGCCACTGCTGTTGCTGATCTCTGTGTCAAAGTAAACCCACTCTCCTGACGGTGGCTGAGTCATGATGTGAATGTCCACCTGGGAAGACAGCGAGGTTGGGGCAACAACAGCATTAAACGCAGAGATGAGCAGAACAGGCCAAGCATGGGGACCTTCCACCCAAGCCCTTTTGGACAGCAGCAGGGCTGGGTCTTGCCCCCACCATCTGCACTTCACAGATCTCAGCTGAGAAGCACCCAAACATCAAGATGCTGGAGTGAAACTCAGCCTTGGTGGTGAAGACCTCCACGATGAATGCTGCTCCTGGCAGGAGGTGCCACACAAGTCTGAGCAGGGCAACCTGGCCAAGACGCAAAGGTAGCAAACCCCGTCAAGGACCAAGGGAGCACCAACCAGCACCGTCTCTGTCCCCCTCCACATTTTGGCCCATGGTGCCCCATATCAGACAGTACCTTTTCTCCTGTGAGTGTGACCATATCTAACGGACCGTACATAAACCTTCCAGTTAAGGTCTGGGGCCCATCTTCGTTAGCGATGGTGTCATTTATCCTGTGGTTGGCTGTGACGTTCTGCACAAGGCAAGAGAGAAGGGAGGAAAACAACAAAAAAAAAGTTCGCAGCGATGGACAGGCTCACAGGGAAACGTAAAATAAAAATATAACCTGACAAATTGGAGCGTGGGTTTTTCTCTGTGCCGCTTCCCACCTCTACTCTACCCACAGCTCTCGGCTTTAGAAAAGAATTTGACCTGTGGCAGAGGTGAGGGTCTGTGCCCTGCGTTGATGGTGGATTTGAGCCATGGCTGAAGAGCCAATTTCAGTGGCAGTTTGTATGTGCAATTCTGATACCATCTCATCTACTAACTTTTACACTTTGGATTTAAGAGGCGATACAAAGAGCTGCCAGAGAAAGTTGCTGACATTGTTTCAGTTCTAACAGCAAATTGCCCTCTTTCGGGAATCGGAGATATTTCCTGGGAGCAAAGGACGTTTACTGAGCAGAGAACTTGCAGTATTGGACTTTGAAAGACATTCAGTTCCTTTCCCTCACCCACAGCCAACACTTTCTGTATTTTACACAGACTCGAGGTCAAGAGGAGACCTTGCTGGTGCAGATCTTCAGGTCACTCTGTCACAACTACACAGGTAGGATACAATCACTAATATACACCAGCAGTGCAACGTGATCCTCTGTCTCGGCCATGGACAGACACAGCTGTGGCCACACCGGCCCCCTTCAATGCCGTTCTTGTAGCCCAAATCAAACCCCCTCTACACAACAGTGCTCCCCCTGTGCTGTGGATGCAGCCCCAAAACCACCCTTACCCGGAGCTTCACGTGCGTCCTCTTGCGGAGCCACTTCTCGCGGGGCTTGGAGGGGGTGAAGACAGACACCTCCTTCCCATCCAGCTCCAAAACGCTCGAGTTCTCGTGCCTCATCACCTGCAGGAGGACGGATCCCATAGGGACGTCAATCACTTGGGCAGTGCACCCCCACCTCCTGCCCACACTGTTCTGTATCTCCTGAGCCAGCACTGACCTCATCTCTGAGGTTGACAGAGCTCAAGGAGGGTGGTGGGGTGTCACTGCATCAGGGCGAGGATCAGAGGGGCCAGGTGATGCCCAGCCAGCCTTTGGAGGCAATTGCTGCCTGTTACCAAGGTTCAGACAGGGATGGAGAAGCAGGATTAGATCCTACCTAGACTGCCCTTAAGCTCTAGAAGGGAAAGGGAAGAATAACATCACTGATCCCAAAGGTGAGGGGACATCTCAAAGACTGCTGTAAAGACTGGGAGGTGACCCTGCACAGAGAACACTGAAATCAGCAGTAGTCCTTAGTGACCTCGTCTCTCCAAAAATTAAGGAGCCTCTTAAATACAGGCTCTTTTACAAAGTCTTGAACATATTTCGTGTGGTCAGCGGCTCTCCAGCTGACCCAGGCTGTAATGGTCTGACACAGGCCAGCTCGTTTTGCAGAGCTGAAGCTGTTTTTCTCTCAGGGAAATGGAAAAAGGACCCCAGGGAGGATGAGCTGGCTGGGGAGGGAGTTCATGGAAATCCAAAGTAAACAAAATAACAAGTTTCACTGAAAATTATTTAAATCAGGAATCTATTTTGAGTCCTATTTGGGCTTGTTTTAACAAGCTTTAATCTTTGGAGGCTAAAACTATTCAACAGCTTACTTTTACATTTTGTGCAGAGATGACTTTCAAAGACGATTAGAAACAAGTCCTTATTAGGGGAAGAAGTGGAGTGGTGCTCTGGAAGGACAGCAAGAAGACAGGGAATGAGAAAAATCCCGGTCTCAAGACAGAGACAAGTGAGCAGAGACAGGCGCTGGGGAAGGGGTGTGCCAGACTACCCAGGCAGGCTTTGAATGGTACCTCCAGCCACGAGATACAAAGCACCACGCTGTGCTACAGACCCAGGTTTGGGCTGAATCCCGAGTAATTGGCTATTTCTCGAGTGGAGCATTATATGTATGAGACTGTCGTGACTGTTCCCACTCATGCACAATTACAGATCTCTCTCTCTCCAGCCTCGTTAGGCTGAGTTCAACGTGGGGATCCAGGAAGGCATGTGCAAGCACAGAGATGTCTCGCTGGGCTTGATACAGCCCAGGAAGAAAGGGTCTCACCGGCTTATCGCTACCGCTCAGCTGTCACAAGCACCGACATCTCTGTTGTTTATGGTTCCCATACTGTTTGGAAGATAGCACTGAAAGAAAGTTTGCCAACAGTCATAAATAATTGAGAGCTGCAGCCGGAGGAGGCTGGAAGAGAGCGGGGACAGCTTAACAGCTGAGCTAATACAAAGCAAACCCAAGCGCCGAAGTAGGCTACGCAATCCACAGAGTTGCTTTTAGTTCTGTTTTTTCCAATTCCATGCTCTAAGTACTGTTCCTTGGCAGGTTCATGTTTGTAAGGCAAATAACTCCTCCTCATCCCCAAGGAACTGAAGGAAAAATATTTCCTTTTAGGAAAAACATGTTTTAAATAGAAGATTCAAATCTCAGGCCAAATAAAGGTTGCTAAAGTCTGAGATGTCAGACTCCAGACACCAGCAATCGCCATTTACCCAGCCCCAGGAGAACTGCTTTGTGCTGGAGGAACAAGGACTAAATCCCAATGCAGTGACAAGGGTCTGAGTCCCTACAGGAGACCACAATAACTTAGAAAGCCAAAACGGAGAACCGAACTCTGTTCATCAACTCATATCAAATTCATACAAAACTTCTCTAGGTTTATTGTATTTGGTGCTATTTTTATTTGTACATCACCAAGTTTCCTTTAAGTTTCAGACTTGAGATCCAAACTTGCACACACAGAGAACAGCTCACTTCAAGAAACAAGTGCCACCAACTTTTGCCACTGGGATCTGATAGGAACCAGCCCTGGGCTCACTCCATGGCAAGCCCATCTGAAACCTGCTCTGATGATAAAACCCATACCAAAACTAACCAGCTGTGACAGCACGTCTGTAAAGTTTGTGTGGGTGCAGCTCCACTAACAACGCAGGTGAGGAACAAAAAGAAAGGGAAGAAAACAGATCTGCAGTGGCAAGGGGTATTTTTTTCATCTCCATGTGTCAATGAGAGTTATGGAAGGTGAAGCGGAAAAACCAAAGAGCCCAAAATATTTTTCAGCCCAAGGGAGATTGGAGGAGGGAGGACAACCATACCTGTCTCAGCAGGAAAGAGACAACGTCTGTGGACTCCCAGTAGCTTGCATGGAAGAGGTGTGGCAAAGCAACCGTTGGGAAAGCTGTCAGGGCGTCAGGACAGTAGAGAGCGTAGTCGATCCTTTTGGTTCCCCACCACTTGGCAGCAACTAGAAACAAGAGACTGGTTCAGACAAAGGGGGTTCACACACACATGCAATCACAAATGGTATTTTGAGGCTCTGGCTCCTCACTCCAGGTACACCCAGAGGTTGCTCCCTGGCTGGTCACACTGCTAAGAGGGAACCCAGGGCTCAGTGTTTGCTCAAACCAAGGGAGGAACACACAGGGGCACCACCACTTCAGCTCTCCTTTGAGTCAATAGGAAGGCACTAGAGGGCAGGTGTTAACTGGCAATTGAGCAAAAACATACGACAAAGAGTATCTCCCTGGAGCTACAGGAGGAAGCGGGTGTGTGCTCTGCCCACTGTAGTACCTGCCCAGGCCATCTCCAGCCCCACTTCCAACTCCTTTAGCTTTCACCAAGGAATAAAAGACTCTTTAGCACCCAGATATTGGCCACACTAAAGAGGATCTGAATACTGGGAGCCCGCGTGAGATGCTAAATGGCACCGCAAGGCAGAGCGTATGGCATGTGCTGCTGGGATTGGCAGTTCCCAACAAGTCCTGGTTGCCCTCCCAGGCTACCATGTTGTAGGCAATGGAGATCCAGCCCAGCCTCCCTGGGAGCACAGCCTCTGTGGTGGCCAACAAAAGTGTCCCGGAGTGCCAGGACTCCATTGCACGTGGGACTGAAAAATACATGGGGATTTTGGGTGAGCAAGGTTACAAACAACGCAGAAGAGTTTCTCCCTTGGGGAGTCAACAACTCACACACAAGTGTCCAATGGCCACCGATCACCCATGGGACACCACCACACTTCAATGCTGCCCTCAACTCTTCCCACGCACATATCCTTTCCAACTCCCTAGCAACGAGCATGTCTCAGCCCAAAGCCTCAGACTCCAAAGGCATGGGCTGCTTTCTCAGCAGTGAGAAGTTCTCAATCCTTGTGTGCTCTGGCCTGGAAAAGCAGCCACGGAAAGAGAAGATGGATCAGATCAAGAGAGCAACAGGAGGAGCCGTATTTGCATGCAGGGTGCAAGCTGAGGCTTTGACAAGGGCTTTCTCAAGCTTGGTTCTTCTCTGTGACAATGTTTCCTTTTTATGGACTTCCAGGAAAGCTGCCAGGTATAAGGTACAATTCAACACACCCCTCTTGTTAAGGGAAATCTAGCTGGTGATGAGCACAGAGGCTGAACTGAAATAACCAACCCACCAGCTCCTTCCAGAGTGTCTTAACATGAAACCTGCACAAAGCTCCCACCACAGAAACGTGCAGAGGGTTATGGCATCAGCACATCCCTGGCTGTGCTCAGTGCCCAGGCCACCCTCATCCCAACAGCCCTTGCTTTTCTGACGAGCCATGGGAAGGAGGATGAGGGTGTTGATGGATCAACATGGCTTTTCCAGAGCACGCAGGCACCTCCTCGCAGCCATTTCTGACTCCCTATCTTCCAAATTGGCAGCTTCTGGTCATGTCCCAACCTTTCATTTTGCATGGAAGTCCCCAGCTTGGGTAATTTCAGATTCTTTGTAGGAAGCAGACAAGATTTATTCTTCCATGCTCAAAAGACTGTGGTGGAGGTAGAAGCGTTGTCCCCACAGCTCCGCCCAGAAGAACTCCTGCTTTTGCCAAGTTGTTAGCCGTGTTATGATTGATATTTGGAGCAAAGTGACAGAAATACTGGTTAAAATGCAATCAGAAAGTGCAAGTGCCTCAGTGAAAGCGCATAGATTTATTGAGTTCTGTGACTATCGAATGAGAGAGGAGGTCGGCCGAAGTGGATGTCTCCAGAATACCTGTCTTGATGTCCAGGTCGGGTATCCGAAGAGCACAGTCTGCAGCCTGACTCCATGGCCCTTTGAGCTTTCTTCCCTTCAAAGGGATTTCATGTTTATGCTGCCTACGTCTCTTGGACGAGGTTTGGGTAGGGGATTTGTGAGGTAGAGCGAGTTGGGACAGAAGGCTAAACCCTCTACAATGATTAAGGTGGTGTTTGGTTTCTAAAAGGAAAAATAAAATTAATCAAAAAAAGCAGAAATCACACTTCTTATAATGGCACACACATGCCGCAGGCAACACCGGTTTCATCCTCCGGAAATTCACAGTGCAAGAGAACCTGCACCCTCGGGAGGGCTCCCGGGAACGAGCCATGGTTTTGCGGGGCCCCTCTGGACTTCCTCCAGCTCTCCCTGAGGGATAAGCCCGGACCGCATCCAACCCTCAATGCCACGGCTTCACATCACCAGCGCGCTACGAAGGTCGAGCGCAAGAGCTGCAGAGCCAGAGCCAGGGCTCGGAGGACGTGTCGGCACGCGGGAGGCAAAGGAAGGGGCTGCGACAGCCCTTGGGGCAGGATGCGCACGCAGCCATGCCGGGGCCGGACTCTTCCCCTTCCATCTCAGGATCAGGCTTTGATGGCTGTGATGTGCGTGGAGTAATAAATCACACACAGCAGAAGCTGAGCTATCAGGGAGAGCCCGGCGAAAGCAAAGAGAGGGCAAGCGCTGCGTGGGCCCGATCCTGCTGTCAGCTCGCAGAGGCATGACCCCTCCGTCGCGTCGCGCGGACCTTCAGACATCACCCCGGAGTAAACGCTTCCCAACGGACAACCTCCGCCCTCCGCTTCCCCTCCCGGCCAGCTGAGCTCAGCAGCTCTCCGTGGGTGTGGAACCAGCACAAAACAAACACCTTCTTCCCAAGCACGTGAATATTTAGCAAGCGCTTGGCAAGATGTCTCACCAGGACAAATACAAGAACACACACGGGGAGCGCGGCATCGGCTCTCGGACGTGCTTTGGGAAAGACAACCTTGTTTGTGGGAGCACAGGAATTT